TATTTAACACTGCACCTGGGCGCCGGTGCAGCGGCCCTTGCACACTTGTCACTGTATTCAGGCCATACAGCGCGTCGCTTCCAGGGGTCGCCCTAGCATTAACACAATTTCTTAAAGGATTCATGTCATTATTGTTCGACAAGTTTTACGCTGGCTGTCGACTACCTAACGCAACCCTCCACTTTTCTCATCCAGGACTTGGGACCTGGCAACGGCAGTGTTACATTTTTAGATAACAATTGAAAAAAAAAAAAAAAAAAGGTCTATGCCAATCCCAAACCCGGATGAAAAAAGTTGAGAAAAAATTTTTATAAAATAATTTAGGCCCCCACTCAATGAATTTTCTGGCTCCGCCACTGTCAAGAGTCACGAGGACTTGGTCACTAGCACTAACTTCCTTGTAAGTATCTATTTCCTTTTCTCTAGCAACATCTAAAATATTCTTAGGGAACCTCATCAAAGTAATGTCGCTGGTATCTTTTAAGTTTGGTTTATCAATAGTGGAGTTTGGAAGATGTAAACTCCTTTTGAACAAAGCTATGAAGAGCAGTCTCTTTGAGGCATTATAAGGTAATTTACCCATCAAAGATTTGGATATGCAGTATACATAACAGTTGCTAGATCAGGACCTATTTCGGTTATCACCCTTACTGTGATCTTTACTTAAAAGGCCCACTCATAATAAAGTACATTATCGCATCACTTGAAAAGCTTAAAGAAAAATTCTCTAAATTAATTTATTTCTCGATGCTAAGTCCATTTTTTTACCTTAGGCAATACAGCTTGTTCCAAAGGAATATTTGAAGAAGTTGTATGTTCGTTCTTTTGAGAATTTGCAACTAGAATTATTGACTCACTAAATGCTTCAAGATAAGAAGAATACATGCTTGATAATTAGCTGGAATCAGTTAAGTCTTTGGCTCTAAAGAATTATAGAATCAATTACTAGTCCTTTTGTTGGGACATTCGTGAGCTTGTCTTGAAGAGCTGCTTGATTAATAGGAATGACAGGAGCATCTGCTGTCCTAATCGCCTCACCAATCTCTAACATCACCTTCTAGGGTGCTGGCTTCTTAAAGAGAACTTTTCTTAATCTTCCACTTGTCATATCAACATCTTGATAAAATTGTCAAGCAAGATAGAGGAAGAAAATGGTCAAGATAAAGATAGGTTCAAATTAAATTGTATGCTCATATTTATAAACTTGTTACAATGATGATGTATGCAACCAATCAAATCATCGTCTAATTTCTTTATTCTTCTATATTTGATAATTTATTTATTTAAATCTCTTGCTCTTTTTACAAGTTATTTATAAAGATATAAGAGAATCTAGGAACAAAATGTACATTCAAATATTACATAATCTTGATTCAAAGCAATTCAGCCAAGTTTGATGTTTAAAGTAAAATGGCCAAGTAAGAAGAATAGATTTGTTGAACTCTCTTGGATCATGTTGAACTCATCATGGTCATATTGAACTCACTATATTTGCTATGTATGCATCAATTTCATCTTGTATGTGTTAGGCTTTACATGAATTCACCATTGAGATGCCATATTCATGCATTTTTGTCTTATATATTTACAAAGTTTTGTCTTATGATGCACCAACATTTCTCCTCAAAGAGACGTGCAATGTCCGATACGTATCCGACACGACATGTGTCTGACACTCTGATACATGTTAGACATGCCAAAAATGTATCCGATTTAAAAAAATAAATAAATACAATTTGGACACGCGTGTCTTAAATATTTAATGAATTATTTTAAGTACATTTTTTTGTATTTAATATTTTTATTTATTTAAAATATAAAAATTAAATTTCTTATTTCATATCTATAATGTCAAATCAATCGTCCGCACTCAATACCCTATTCATTGAATATTCTCATTTTCATTTCTCTCTGACGGGTTGTGACTTTGGTTTCACAATAATGACTGATGTCATCTCAACATCATTTGATGTCATTACAAGATCGACATTTCAAAATCATTTCAACAACATTGTTGTCTCCTCTCTTGATGCCTGGTACACGACATCTACGCCCGACTCTCGACATCCTAATATTAATTATTTTAAACACAAATTCTAGTTAAATGACTTATTATTTTTAAATTATTTTTAATATTATACTTATTTAATTTTTATACACTATTTTTAAATTATAAAAATTATAATACAGTGTCCAACTCGTGTTCGTGTCTGATATTTTCAATAATTGATGTGTCCCGTTTCTTAACACTATCGTTGCCAGGTCCCAAGTTCTGAATGAAAAAAGTGGAAGATTGTGTTAAGTAGTCGACAGCTAGCGTAAAATTTATTGAATAATCATGGCATGAATCCTTTAAAAAATCATGTTAATGATAGGGCGTCCCTTAGAAGTGACGTATTGTATGGCCTTAATACAGCGACAAGTATGCAAGGGCCGCTGTACCGATGCCCAGGTGCAGTGTTAAATAGGCAAGGGTTCCCACATCAAGGAGGGATGCAGACTAAGAAGTTAGTCCATGAAACTAAAATTAGGATAGGAACTTGGAATATTGGTTCCCTTAAAGTAAAATTTATAGAGTTAATATATATTATGATTCATAGGAAGATAAATATTTTGTGCATTCAAAAAACTCATTAGGTTGGAGAGAAGGCTAAAGAGATTGATAGTTTAGGATTTAAATTATAGTATTCGGGTAGGAGTCATACTAGAAATGGTGTAGGTATGATTATAAATAAGAATTTGAAAGATAATATTATAAATGTTAATAGAATTGAAGATAGAAATATAGCTTCAAAGATTATTATTGATGCTAAGATTATTAATATTATAAGTACTTATACTTCTCAAATAGGTTTTAATATGAGTTCAAAATTAAGATTTTGGAATGACTTAGAAAAATTAATACAAAAAATACCTCTTAAAGAAAAGAATTTTTATTGGAGGAGATTTAAATGAAAATGTTGGTAGAGGGCTAGATGATTTTAAAAGTATTAATAGTGATTATGAGTTTGGAACGACAAATGAATGTGATAAGGCTATATTAGATTTTTTTTAAGCTTATGATTTTTTAATTGCTAATATCTTACTTAAAAAAAGAGATGAGCATCTCATCACTTATAAACATGGATATAGTAAAACTCAGATTGATTATTTTCTTATAAAAAAATTAGATCGTTTAGATAATAAAGATTGTAAAGTTATTTCGAGTGAAAATTTATGTATCAAACATCGATTATTAGTTTTGAACTTTAAGAAAAAGGGACAAACAATAAAAAAATGAAATAAATTGATATTCTATGATTAGATAGAGATATTTAAAAAATATTAATAAAAATATTTTTTAGAGTAAAATTTTAGATCTTAAGGTTTTGTTATGCATGAGGATATTAATGTTATATGAGAAAAAGTGGCTAGTGATATTAAGAATATTGCAAAAGATATGCTTGAAGTATCAAAGGAAAAAGCTCATAATAGTAAAAATAGTTAGTGATGGAATCCAAATGTGTAAGTAAAGATAAAAAATAAGAAGATTTATTACAAAAATTGATTAAGATGTAAAATTTTTGATAATTGACAAAGTTATAAAGAGACAAAAAATTTAAGAAAGCAATATATGATGCAAAGATCTTAGTTTTTAATGATTTATATAATAGATCATATACTAAGGAGGGAGAAAGATATATGTATAAGTTGGCCAAACAAAGAGATAGTAGTAAAGATTTAATTCAAGTGAAGTGTATTAAGAATGAAGATAAAAAAGTATTTTCCTTAGAAGATGATATTCAACAAAGATGGATGAGATTTTTTGCTAAACTTTTTAATAAATAATGTGAAAATACGATTGACTTTAGTGACCCTAGCATCCTAAATGAAAATAAAGATTTATATTTTTATCCGCGTATTAGTAAAATTGATGTTAGAGAGGCTTTAAAGAAAATGAAGTGTGGAAAAGCTGTTGGACCTTATGATATTCCAATAGAGGTGTGGAAATAATTAGGAGATGAAGGAATTTCTTGGCTTACTAAACTTTTAATATTGTTTTGAAGACTAAAAAGATGTCAGATGAGTGAAGAATGAGTTTTTTAATTTCTATTTTTAAGAATACAGGTGATGCACATGATTGTGAAAATTATAGAGTAATTAAGTTAATCTGTAATACTTTAAAACTATGAGAGCGAGTTATGAATCGTAAGTTGCGGCGTGATACTAATGTTTCTCAAATCAATTTGGATTCATGCCAGATAGGTGTGATGACTCGGTTTAGGATGGGCTGATTCGGTTGAACCGACCAGCCTTCTATTAATAGTCGCGACCCCAACAGGGGTTGGTACTGTGCATTTCGTGAACAAAGCGAAGGGCGGACATATGGCTTCGTGCGGGAGAGCGAGGTAGGCTTCATTTTTTTCAATTTTAGCAAAGGATTGGCTTCAAGGATAAGAATCATGATTCCTCTTCATTCCTATCCATAATGAAGTACTAATTTGGGAGAAACGACGATTAAAGGAACGATTGAGGAAACGAGGAAACAAGGTTTGTGAATTCCTTCCATCCAATTTTGTATAAATTCTCATGTTTTGTTTGGCATACAATAAATGACATTTTGTTAAGGGAAAAGAAAGATAT